GGGGCCCGCCCCAGCCTCGGTGCGGCGCGCGAGCTAGTGAGTGGCAGCTGGGAGAAGAGGCCGGGGACAGCGGGAAAAGGAGAGCCAGGCAGCACGCGCGAGCGGGGGGACATGCCCCCCGGGAGGAGGTGAGGGAAGAGATCTGGCCACAGTGGGAAGAGGAGAGAGAGCGCGAGGGCAGTGCAAGCTCCAGCCCTGTGCCCCTGCCTCTCCCCTGTGGGCTGCCCCCCTTGTCACATGGCATGCCCCCCCCCCAAAGTTTCTGCATTTCCCTTTGAAGCCTCAGAAAGGACAAGAGCTGTCCTGCCTCCCCCACGTTGGCCTGGGTAGTTGTCAGGCACACTCTGCATGATTATGTAGTTAGTCACCTTCCCCCTCCCAAGAATTGAACCCAAACATTGAAGATGTTCTGTAGGGGCTCCCCCTTCTCTCAGCAGCATGTGTGGGGGGGAGGGGGAGAAGGTGATGGAAAAGCACCTGCGTTGCATTTTAAATGAATGTGGGTTGGGTGACTTTGCACTGGACATTCATTCTGGCCAGAGCAGGGCTCCTAAGGCATTATGCCTGGGGATGGGGTGGGAATCATAGCAATCTGCCCACTCTCTATTCTCAGACATTATGGATTGCCCATTTCCATCCACTGGCGCTAGTTATTTTTGTTTTCCCAGGTCCTACTTAATGGGCACTTGAGTGAGAATTTCAATAGTAGCCCTGCTCAGCTTTTTATGGCATTTAATGGTTTCTTCCTTTTTTAAAAACAAGAAATATATTGATGCTTATAATACAGCAGTCTATAAATAATCTAAATTAATTGTGTTCCAGGAAGCATAACTTTAGCCTTTTGCTGCATCCTCCCAATAATTAATTACACTCAGAAATTACTAAAAGGTTCTTGGTAATAAAGGTGCCTTAACAAAAGGTGGATGTTTCATTCTGAAGGCATCACATTGTAGGGTGTTCAGTGAATATATCTTGGTTTTTAGACAACCATTGTAATTTAGCAACAGGCCAGCTCACAGAGAACAGTATATTTGGAAATAAGGGTAATGCCTGACCATCCCTTTTCAGTTTTGAAATATTTACGTTGTCCTTGGCATAGACAGGAGTTGAACTCTGCCTAGCAGCCTGCTTCAGTGACTTACACTGAGAGAAGGTAATCATCACTTAGGCCTTCTGATTACATGTTTTGATTAAAAGAAGTAGTAAGTGTTTTTTGTAAGCTTACTGATTCTGTCCTTAGCTTTTTCCAATCCTCTTAAATATAAGCAGGAGCTGTGGTGTTGAATCTTCCAGCAGAATATATTAATGTTCCTGCAGTACTGAGGGGAAAGCTTCTTTTTCATATTATCCCTGTCCCTTGACTTTCTTTCCACCTTTTTTTCTTTATTCATTGACTGAATTTTTTGATCCATCAGCTACATTTAGAATGTATCCAAAATTGAAATAAAAAATAAATACCACTCTTTTGACAGTTGAGAACTCCCTATTGCAGAAGAAGGAAGCATAGCAGCATTGAAAGATTGCTCAACCACAGAATTTGCATTTACCTAAGTTTCCCTTTAGTTCTCTGTGGTAATCGTTGAAACAATCTGTAGCTGCTGGGAGAGACAACACTTTTATATAAAAAGTGACTGTTTATTTTAAAGATATGTCACACAGTGAACAACTGGAATTCCATTTATTGTTATTGACAAATCAGTCATTGTGGAAAAACATGATTATAAAAATAGGTTCAATTCATTATTTGGTTCTCTGGGCTACTAATTGCTGAACACAATATAGTTAGTCAAAGAATAGGATTTCTGATCCAAAATATTACTTTGTATTTTTTTTCTCTGAAATCTGTATGTGCAGATTCTAAGTATATTGTCTTTAATGAGACTATTGGAAGAATAAAAGTGCTTCTGAGAGAATAAGGATTTCAGAATCCAACATGAACTTATTTCATGATTTATGTGGTGTCTGTTTTTTCTTTTTGGTTTACCACATTTTCTCTAACACCACTTGGATTAAAGTTTGAGAATTGGTAATAACCTGAATGCTCTCAGAAATTCTGGATCCCATCCTGTTGGTTCTTTTCAGTGCTGAGTAAGGACAATGAGGTTTTATTTTTTTAAAATTAGTTAATACACAACCCATTCAGCTCCAAAATGAGCAAGTCACATCCCTTTACCCTCACAGCTTAAAAACAAAACAACAACTAAAAACTAACTTGCATTGAGTGCAGGTTTATTTTACATGCTTCTTTTTAACTTCAATATTTAGCATTGTTAGCTGCTGACTTGTAACTGGCACATCCATCACATTGTTAATCTTGTTGTGGGTTTTACAGTTGTACATTTGGCTGTGATTTAATTATGGGATCGCAGATCAGTGTTTTTAGAACTTTATTTGCTTATTTGATCATTTTAACTTGAACATTCCTTTTTCAGACAACCACTTTGTCTGCTGGAACAAGATTCTAGATTTCAGTGGTACCTACACTGTGATAACACCTAAAGGGACAGTCAGTTGCAGGCAAATACTCAAGTTCACAGGTCAACATAGTAATTCATTATTGGATAGAGAATGTTGCTGATCTAGTGCATGGTAAATTAAATCTTGAAGAATAATTTCTGGTAGATGTAAAATATAGTTTCCAATTTTGTTCTTGTTAAGTTAGCATTGAGAACATCTCTTAGAGGAAGAACCATATTACAGGGACTTGATAAGAGGATATAGTTACTCCCACTGCAGGGCATAAATAATGGGACCCAGGTTTTTCAGTGTCAAATAAGTTGATTTGTTGTACTTACGTTCAAAAGGTTATTAGTAATTTTTTGCATTTATAATTCCTTTTATCTCAAAATCTCAAGTGCTTTACAGTTGCAGGTATATTAATATCTCCATTTTGTTAATGGGATAATAGTCACCACCAAAGCAAGTGATTGATCGAAGGTCACACAGCAATTCACTGGCAACTGTAAATAGAACTCATGTTTCTGGACTTCAGGTTCCATGCTCTGCCTACTAGATGGAAGTTAAACATTTGAAAAAAAATGCAAATATTGCAATATATAGAAAAGATCTGGAAAAGGAAAGTAATGATTTATATGGAAAAAGAAATGGACTTACTTGACATAAACTTACTTGTAGGAAACATGATGCCAGAGTACTCCCTTTTGCAGCCATTTTACAAAACTTCCATTAGGATTACAGGGCCCTAGATTACCCCACTGATGAAATGAGGTGAACAAGGAGAAGACAAACCTAGTTCTAGCAAGGAATCCAAAATCTGGCTTCTCCCCACATGGGACAGGAGAAACCTTTCAGGAATTCACATCCCCCCACCTATCTAGGTAATTCTGATAGTTTGCATTCTACACTGGCATTAGTACACTCCCCACCATTGTGGTGATACAGTTCCAACTCTTCATATGGGTCTTTATGGCATTGTTACAGATGAATACTAATCTGGAAGCACTAATCATTCATTTTGCTGAAGAATTTTATTCTTTGCCCTAGCCCATCTGTGATGTGGTTCAGTTACACCATCCTCTAGTGGTTTGTCTGCACAGGGGATAGCAGTCTGTTTCTGTGGCCAGCTAATGGAGCTACTCCTTTAACTCATGTATTACAAGTCAGAGCTTTACAAGATGAAAGTTTGGGGTTCAGACTCTGCCAGAGGCTCATGATGGGGTCCTTACTCAGAGGTGTAGTGAGGGTGTTCTGCGCCGGGGGCAAAGGCAAAATTGCACTCCCTTCTGTCTCAGAGAGGAGCCCTGAACGTGGTTCACGGCTGAGGCCGACCCTGATAAGAGAGGAGGAGGAGCTTGTACTGCGTCTTCTCCTGCCCCCTCCAGTTTGGGGCTGGGCACACGTATGCACTAACCTGCCGGTGAAGATGGGGGAGGGTTGGGCTGGGGGGGGTGGGGAGGAGGCTCCAGCCCACGGTGGTGGGCG